ATGGTGCCTGCCTCTGTAATGGCAGACTCTCTCTGTAATGGCAGGTTGCCTCAGCAATGGTGGGTTGCTTGGCAACAGCGGACTGCCTCAGAGATGGTGGACTACCTCCATAGTGGTGGCAGACACCCCTCCCCAACAGAGCTGGACCGTACTGGGTTCAGCTGTGCTTGCTGTGAAACTCTCAACCCAGAGCATTTTCAATTGCTTGTTTTTTTTTTTTTTTTTTTTTTGTGGGCATGGGTCCAGCCAAGCCTGATCACCTGGCTCCCTGACTCAGTGTCTGGTTTTTTTTTTTTTTTAGTTGAACCATCGACTCTCTCCCAGGTGTTCCAGTTGCCTGTTGAAAAGGCGCCAGGATCTGTGTGATTTCCCATGTGGCGACTCACTGCGTTGGCTGAAACAGTAGGGCTAAGATTTGTGGCGTTTTTTTTTTGCCCAGGAATCTTCTGGCCTGGCTCCCTGGTTCAGTCCCTTTTTAAATCAGATAAATGGGTGATCTTGTTTCCCGGTCTCCAATCGCCAGCTAAAAGGGCACCCAGACCAGTGTATTTTGCATGGAGAACTGCCGCGCCAGGGCGCCAGCAAAGTAGCCGCGGCGGCCAAAACAGCAGCACTGGCCAAAACAGCTGTGCCGGCGACCCATGGGGCTCCTCCGCCTGGGAATCTCCTGGTCTGTGGGCAATAAAAATCCATCTGGAAATGCAGCATCCACTCACCCTCTGCGCTTTCACTGGGAGCTGCAATCCTGAGCTGTTTCTAGTTGGCCATCTTGGGTCCTCTCTCCTTTACCCCCTTTTGAAAAGTTAGAGCTTCTGGTGACAAATCCTCTTATTTTTCCTTCATCAAATGTCTTTATAGCCCTACCATTTCTAAAAGATAAGTTCACCAGATATAAAAATGAGAATTGAAAGTTCTTTTATTTCATCACATAGACAGTGTTGTGCCACTTTCCTGTGGCTTTCATGTATTTCTGATGTTTCCTGCTTCCATTTGTATTGTTTTCACTCCTGTAGGCAGCTTATTTCCCCCAGCTGCTTTCAAGATTTGTTCTTCCTTAGCGGGGTATGGTGCCTTGTGCCTGTAATCCCAGCATGGAGACAGAGCAAGACTCCGTCTCAAACAAACAAACAAATTTGTTCTTCCTTTTAGTTTTCAGATATTTTAACATAATATACCTTAGTTTGGATTCTTTGTGTTTATCTTGGTTAGTGATATACACTGAAAGTTTGTGTCCCTTCAAAATTCATATGTAGACATCCTAAATTCAATGTGATGTTATTTGGTTGTTAGGCCTTTGGAAAATCATTAGGGTTATATTAAGTCATGGTGATGGGGGCCTCATGTTGAGATCAGAGGCCTTATTAAAAAAGAGAGAAAGAGAAGGAAATAAGAGATACCTCTTTCTTCTCTCCAACATGTTCGGATACAATGAAATGAGATGACGTCCATTTACAGCCATAAATTGCCTTCATCAGAACTCAACTATGCTGGCATTCTGATCATGGTCCTCCAGCCTCCAGTATTGTGAACAACAATTTCTTTTTTCATAAACCACCCATTCTATGGTATTCTTATACAGTAGCCTAAAATGGCTAAGAAATTTTGGGTTTGCTTGAATTTAGAAATCTATGAGTTTTTGTCCATTTCCAAATTTAGAAAGTTTTCAGTCTTAGAGATCTTTCTAAAAGTTGCCTATTTCTTCTCTCTTTCTGGGACTACGATAACATAAAAATTAGGCCTTTGGTTATACTATTACAAGTCCCTGAGGATGTGTTTATAGTTTTTTTCCTGCTTATCTTCTTAAATTTTTTATTTGGTTATTGTAAATTTTAAATTCATTCATTTTTTAAAATATATTTTAATTTCTTGGCTGAGATTATTTTTAAATTTGTTTCATATGTGTGTGCAAGTAAAATACAGGAAGCATTTTTATTATGACTGATTTAAAATCTTTGCTGAATAATTCTAACATCTTTGTCATTTTTGTTCTGGAATCTACTAATTATCTTTTATATTCAATTTGAGATTTTTCCTGGTTCTTGGTATACCAAGTGATTTTTTAAATGAACCAGGACATTATGAGACTCTAGAACTTATTTACCCCTTCTGTCTCAGCTGGCATCCTCAGATACTATCCCTGCAAGGGAAGAGAGTGAGGGAGGGACAATCCATTGCTGCCAGGTGATGTAAAGGTTTCCTCACAATCTCTGTTGACACCTAGGCAGGGGAAGGCTCCTCATTAGTGCTCACTGGAGGGTGGATTCTGGCTTACCACTAGGCCTCCACTGTTAGCCTGTCTGGGACAGAAGTGCCTTGCTACTGTTTCCCATGTGGCCTCCACAAGCACTACCTGGTATGGAAAGGAGGGTGCTTCTTCATTGGTGCTTTAGAGGTAGATCCAGCTCCCCATTTGCCCTCCAATCAAGGTGGGGAAGGAGAGTGAGGCACTCATTACCACTAGTTGGGGATGAAAGTTCCAACTTCTGCTATTCTGAGATGCTATTCTGGAGAAAGGTTGGGACAGCTTGTCACAACCTGGCAGGTGTAAGGATTTAAAGATCTAAGCTCTTCCCCTGAGGTAATACTATTTGGTTGCAGTACAGTGGTTATTGTCTAATTGTTTTCTGCCTTTCTAGACTGTCTATTTCCTTGTCCTTTGGCTAAAATTATAGGCCTTTGTTGGGAAATTCTCATCTGTGCCTGTTAGTATTTCTATGTTGATGGCATTTTTAAGCTAAAATTCTGCAAATTATAAAGCAGAAAAGAAAACTTAGGGAATTCATCACTATACAATTTCTTGAGTCCCTACCACATCTGCCTTGGTCTCTCTAGGTCTGAGTTTTCATATATTTTATACATAAACTTCAGGGTTTATAGTTGTTCTTAGTAGAAGGAATAGGGCAAATTATATTTACTTCATTTTTTGGAAGCAGAAATTGGGTTACTTTCTATAAGAAAGCAGCAGGTGAATTTCTGTCTAAATTATCTGCCTCTTCAAGAGGAACTGGGCTTTATTAACATCTGAGTAACAATGACCTACAGGTGACATTACACTCTGTATAGGTAGAGAATAGGTTGAATATTAAATGTTAAGGAGCAGAATCATTGGAATTTAAATGAGGAAGGAGACTTAGTTTTATCCATGTTTACCAGCCACTTGATGATATGCAACAATATATTTGTTCATCACCATCCCTTCTGGATGGGCTTTTGGCTTCTTTTTGAATGGTTCTAATGCTAAAAAAGCAAGTGTTTATCAAATAATCTAGTTTTTAGATAATTCATTATTAGAAGTTTGTCATAGGAAAGAAAGAATAAAACCAGTCTTTTCTAATAAAAGAATAAATAAACTTAAATGTATTGAACTTTTATTTCTGTATTCATGGAGGGTAATTTTATATACATGATGCATTTTACAAGAATTAAATCATGCAATTTTGTATACATCATGTAGGGTAATTTTATATACATGATGCGTTTAATTCTTGTAGGTAGCCCTCTGCCTTAGCCAGTTTGAGCTGCTATTAACAAAATGTTTATCTTGGGTAATTTATAAATAATACAAATGTATTTCTCATAACTCTGGAGGCTAGAAATTTGAAGATTGAGGTGGTAGCAGATTTAGGGTTGCGTGAGAGCCCATTCTGAACAGACAATTCCTCCCAGCTTCCCTCTCATGACACAGAAGTGTGAAAGAAGGAGGAACACTGAGTTCTCACATGTCAAAAGAGATGGAAGAGCTCAGCAGCTTTTGGGAGCCTCTTTTTATAGGGAAATTGATGCCAGTCATGAAAGCAGAGCCCAGGTGACTTAATCACTTCCCCCAAAAGACTCCATCTCTTAATATTATTGAACAGGGAATTAAGTTTGAACATAAATTTTGTAGAGCATAAACATTTAAATTATGGCATTCTGTCCCTGGTCACCCCCACAAATATATGGTCTTCTCACATACTGAGTACATTTATTTAATCCCCCAAATCCCAAAAGTCTTAATTCATTCCAGCATCCACTTTAAAATCTAAATCCAAAGTCTCATCTAAATACATCAAAATCAGATATGGTGTGGCCAGTTTTTTAATATGGAACCATCCTCAACATCCTCTTTCAACATGGCTTATTATTCTTTTAGCATAGTGTTCATTTGTTTATGTATTATTGAATAGTTTCTCTAACAGAGTATCATGTTGTCCTATATATTTTGTTTAATAAAACTCAGAATGAATTCAGAAACTTGTTTCCTGTACTTAAAAAGTTTAAATAAGAGTCACGTGCTTTTTAATGATAAAATTCAGACATTAAAGTTTTCTGTATTCATTGACATTGGAGGTGATAATGAGAGGTGGTTAAAGACAATTATCTACTTCTGTTGCTTGTTAGAGTTATTTTCTATTCAACTTTCCCTCAGCATCTTGAATTAAATTTGTCAGTCTATGTTATCTGACAATAATATTGATATTGCTGGAATTTTCACAATCAGAATAGAGTTTTACTCAAATTTCCTGTCCTTTAAAATTATGCTGCACCCTTTATGAAATTCACTCAAGTTTTTATAAAGAATGGTGAAGGACTTAGGGAGGAAGAGAACTGAGAAAAAAAAAAAAGAGGAGAAAAGAAAATAGTGAGTTTTATGGAGAAGAGATCTAGAACCACATTTGTGTCCCTAGAAACCAGGATTAATAGTTTTGGAAATTTTAAGAATTCCCCAGTCCCTACAACTCCCTCTCATTTGTTATATATTCCTTGTTTCCTAAAGTTACAAGAATATCAATGAAAGATGTGAAAATAATTTTAAGAATTTGAGTTTGTGCTATGCAATCTAGGACAGAAAAGGAACAATGGAACTCTTTCTCCTTGGCAGCTGGTTTTATTAAGATAAAGGAGGAGGGAAGACTGCTGGAAGCATCAGTGAGCAGGAGCCCCAGATGTTCTCAGATTGCATTAATGTCCTTCAAATTCCAGACTGAGAAACACCCACAAAGAGAAGCAATAATCAGAAATTGCATGCTATTAACATTTTATTGGTATACTGAAGAAAAGAGTTATGACTGCATTATTTCAATGTCATGGCTTTCTGAAGGAAGCTGTCTTCTTATGTATGTTCTGAAACAAACAAACAAACAAGAAAATTTATGCACAAGATACAATACGGCAAAAAGTATTTAATCTCTTGATGATATGACTGAAGGAAATTATTGCTTTAAGGATTAAGAAAACAGATTATTTTTATGGTGTTTATGTTTTGGTTACTGTTCAAAACATTCAAGGTTATATATGTGAAAATGACGATGGCAACTTGAACCTATAGTAGTAAAAAACTAATATAAGCCTACTTGCCAATTAACAGTGGCTGATTGACGAAATCATGGTACAGTCACCCAAGAGAAGCGTATACAATCGTAACAACAAAAGAAAAACATGTCTCTGTGCAATGACAAAGTTATCTAAGACATATATTATTTGAAATAAGCAAATACAGATCTGTATATAAAAGAATACATTATTTGTAGAAAAAATAATGACATATGCTTATATACACATAAGTATTTCCAGGAAGATGTTCAAAAAATTAATGGTGGTGACTTTTGGACAGGGGTGTGGGTAAGTAGGATAAGATATCACTTTAAGATTTAGCTTCATACCATCCTGTTCAGTTAGATTTTTTTTTACTCGAGCGTGTACTAATTTCCAAATAAGTATTTTTAAAACTAAATAAAATAAGGAGCATCAAGTTCAAGTATCGGTTAGCAAGGACACTGGACCTGAGAGGCTGGTGTGAGGCAGGACTGAGCAAGGAGTTCTCTGATGGAAACCTGAGAGAAACCTGAGATGGAGAGACCTTGGATCTGAGAGGGCAGACTCAAGGAGAGGAGGCAGAGCACCAAAGGGAGAACATCCCAATTCCTAATTACCAACTCATTTTTATGAGACAAGTCATCTTAAGAAAAAAATTGGGGAGGTCATTATTTCATAAGAATTCTTTGAACACCTTGTTAAAAATACAAGGACTTGCAACCTTATTCAGGAATATCTGAATACAAATCTTTAGAAATGGGGTCCAGGCTTATGCAATTTCAACATGTTTCCAATTGATTTGTGAACATGACAGAGTTTGAGAACGGTGACATTTAAGGCATTTAATGGAGAATGAACTGGAATCATACCTGTCATTGAATTCTAGATTACCAGAATGGCTGGTCCTGGGGACGGCTTCTTGTTCTGTCCCTTGGGAATAATGATGGTACTTCCTGTGGCACTTCAAGAGGAGGTAGGGGTAGAAAGTGGTGACGGCGTCCTCGATGATTTTGAAAAGGAGGTGGGGGAGGATGGTGGTGATGGAACCAATGGCCTCCTGGTCGGGGTGGTCTCTGCTGAGGGCCATGATCTTGGTTTCCGCCGTCACCAGGGGGTCTAGGTAGGAGTCCTTCAGGAGGAGGTGTCTGGGGTCCCTGATCTGGGCTCTGACTTGAGTCCTCTACATCTGTGTGAGTAATGCCCAAGAATGCATGAGCTGAGTGAAGAAAAACTCTCCTCTCTTTACACTTCTCTCACCTTGCCACACAGCCCTCTTCTCCCCAAACCTGCTTCTTGACTGTCAACTTCCCTGTACCCACTGTTTTGGTTGTTTGTTTATTTGTTTTTGTTTTTTAATGCAGCTCTCCTCTTAATCCATGTAAGAGTAATATGGAAAGTCTCGTTTATTTGTTCCTGTGACAAGTATGAGTCCTTAAATTTGAAAAGAAGGGTTCTTGCATAACAGAATTGCCAGAGGATGTCTCCAAGGACAGAAAAAAATAGCAAAAGGATCATCACTTTCAGTTATGTTACTGGTTATTTTTTTGGTTGCTGTAATACCTTACAAACTGTGACTCCATCTCTGGGCACCTAAGCCTTATGTGGAAACTAGAGCTGATTTCCCAGGCTCCTGGAACCAATTTGTGAAATACTAAGAGAAAGAAGAGAAAGGCAATGTGAAAGCCTGCACATGGTCACTAAATAGCTGTGGCAAGTATTTGTCATCTGTAGTAACATAGCTGAGTGGATCAACACAGAGAAAAGGCATCCATACACCTATTTTGTTTTGCTCTGTTTTGCATTAGTCCCTGAAGCCACATAACTGTTCAGGTGAACACTGGGGAAGAAAGAAGCAGTTAAGGATGGGAGGCATCAGAATGAGAACTGTTCTCATTTGTGCATCATCTCTCAGCAGTCATTTCAGCCTGGGACAAAAAGCCTGCCCACTCCTCTTGTCCTCAAAGCCAGGCATGTCTGTATTCAAGTTGGTAGCCTGGCTCACGGGTCCCAGAATCAAGGATGGGAAGAACTGTCCGTATATTTGGGGCATTAACATTAATCAATGCCTGATTCCTCCCACCACCTTCCTCCCCCCAAAAATATTATGAGAGGAAGACATTGGAAAAGCTAAAAAAAAATTCAAGTAGAAAGAAAAAGAAAAGAAATTGATTGAAGATCATTGGGATTTACCTGGTGTGGTGGAAGGCAAGTCTTCATGGATCACATCTAGGAAAAGAAGCACAGGATGAAGTGAACATTACCTCATAAATCTTTCAGGGTTCACAGTGGTCTACAGGGAAAGGGGCTTTCTGACCGTACCCTGTGCATCCCCTAAGTTACCTCATCAACCAACTTCTGTGAAGCTGCTGGAAGGGGAGGAAGATGTCATGGGAGGCAGGGTTGTTACTACCACTGAACATCAACCATGAACTCAATGTAGAAGAGTCCTTAGGATTCCTCAAACCCTAATGCTAATTTAAGCAAACTGCTCTGGGTATTTTCACATTATATTTTAGTTCTACCCTATTCCTTCTCTAAATATTTTGATCATCTTCACATGCTTTCCCAAGAGGAGCGACCAGGAGTAAATATTTGGATGCAATCTTACACATACTGCCTGCAATATATTGAAATTTTAACTGTGAGTGGCAGAAAAATGGGAATTTGGGGACTTGATATTTCTATGCTATTATGTAGAAAAAACACATACTTATTATCCATTCCTCTATTCCTGAAAGTACTCTGATGTGTGTTTATCTCCTTCATTGATTCTGCATCTCCTGTACAGCAAGGACTCTGTCATCGCTGTCTACTGAAATTACTATAGGATCTTCGTAGTTGGACTTCCCTGGATCAGTCTTGAATTCTCTGCTGCATCCTTCACAGCACAGTCAGGTCTTTCTAAAAATACAAATCTTACTTTGCCATTCCTCTAACTGAGATCTCTATTGGGTTCCAAGAGTATATCAAATAAAGTATAAGATCTTGGCATGGAATGAGGGCACAACAGATGTCATCCTTGGAATGAGAACTCTGAAGTCCCATCCTTCTTCTCTTTCTCCTTCCTTCCTTCCTGCTCTTCCTCTGCAGTGGTGTGAGGTGAATCCCCGAGGCCCAAGAAAAGTCACGGCCCCTCACCCCAGTCCCCACCTCCTATTACATTTTTTTTTTTCTTTTTACCATTATCTGTGCTCTGAGCTGAGCTCAGAGCCAGCAGGACCACTGAGAGCAGGACCAGCAGCATCTTGAAGGAGGCTCTGGAGTTGCTTCCAACTCTGTGCTGAGAGAAATATGGCAGCTCCCTTTATAAACATGAGCAGAACAATGGGACCTTTGATCTCCATACTGGGTGGACCTCACTACCTGACAGATTAGGTTTTGCTTTTGCCTCATAAAATTGAATGGGAGGAACTCTATGAGAGGAAAGCAAAACTTAATCTGTCAGGTAGTGACGTTACTTTTGGGACTTAGGCCTAGCCGGATGTGGTGGTAGGATGTGGTTAGGTACAACCTGTGACTCTTGTTACTTTTTGGGAATTTAGCCCAGCAGGATGTGGTGGTAGGATGTGGTTAGGTAACCTGAGTTAGGTACAACTCAAGCATAGTTTCTAAAAGAACAGAATCCAAGCAATTAGCACAAATATTACAATTGAATCCTGGTCATCATTTGATTTTCAATCAGGTGAGACAGTTACTTAGTCTTTTCCCTGCATTGCTTGTCTGTGTGCACATGTGCTCACATTTGTATATGTGTGTCAGCAGTGACCCTATAGCCAGAAGTAAAAGTGATTAATATCTCTGGCTATTAGCATAGCCTAAATTCCATTTGTATGATATATATACCTATATGGATGATATGTAGCTCAATTTCATAATAATATAGGGATTATTTCTGCTTAATGTTGAGTTGTGTGAGGACAACACATACTTGAGCACACGTGGATGACAGAAGGTTGACCCTCAGTCTACTCAGGCCCAAAAAGATTAAGATTCTTTAAACTAAGCACTAACCAGAGACGCTTCATTGTTGTAGAACACAGATATTAAAACATTCTATGTTTATTAATATATTGATGGTTAGTAAAGCAAAACTGGCCACAGAAAGCACATTTGATTTCTGCAGCAGCACAGTGTGAATACACAGTTGCTCGAATAAGCCATGCTATTTTATGTCCCTAAGACTTCTTTCATAGTCTTTCTCTTTTCTAAAATGTTCTATAAGATTTAGTTTAGGTCTTACTTCTTGTACCAAATATTTTAATCATAATGACTGATTATTGGTGAACACAATAATATAATCTCATTAGATATTATGATACCCCATTGAAAGCCTCAGGTATTGCATTGATTTTCTATGTTTTTTTCCTTGTACTTTAGGTTCTGTGGTACATTTGCAGATCATGCTGCAGGACTGTTGCATAGGTACATAACACGGCAATGTGGTTTGCTGCCTCCATCCCCCCATCACCTGTATCTGGCATTTCTCCCGATGTTATTTCTCCCCAACCTCCCCACCTCCTGCTGTGCATCCCCTAGCTCCCCCCAACAGAACCCAGTGTGTGATGCTCCCCTCCCTGAGTCCACGTGTTCTCATTATTCAATACCCGCCTATGAGTGGGAACATGTGGTGTTTGATTTTCTGTTCTTGTGTCAGTTTGCTGAGAAAGATGATTTCCAGATTCATCCATGTCCCTACAAAGGACACAAACTCATCATTTTTTATGGCTGCATAGTATTTCATGGTGTATATGTGCCACATTTTCCTTGTCCAGTCTATAATTGATGGACATTTGGGTTGGGCATTTGGTTGGTTCAGTGCCACAATGAACATAGGTGTACATGTGTCTTTATAATAGAACGACTTCTAATCCTTTGGGTATATACCCATTAATGGGATTGCTGGGTCAAATGGAATTCATTCCTGTTTCTAGGTCCCTGAGGAATCACCACACTGTCTTCCACAATGGCTGAACTAATTTGCACTTGCACCAACAGTATAAAAGTGTTCCTATTTCTCCACATCCTCTCCAGCATCTGTTGTCTCCAGGTTTTTTAATGATCACCATTCTAACTGGTGTGAGATGGTATCTCAATGTGGTTTTGACTTGCATTTCTCTAATGACCAGTGATTATGAGAATTTTTTCATATGTTTGTGGGCCTCAGATATGTCTTCTTTGAAAAGTGTCTGTTCATATCCTTTGCCCATTTTTGAATGGGTTTGTTGGTTCCTTTCTTGCAAATCTGTTTCAGTTCTTTGTAGATTATGGATATTAGCTCTTTGTCAGATGGGTAGACTGCAAAAATTTTTTCCCATTCTGTTGGTTGTCAGTTCACTCTAATGATTGTTTCTTTTGCTGTACAAAGCTCTGGAGTTTAATTAGATCCCATTTGTCTATTTTGGCTTTTGTTGCTTGAGTCATGTTTTGGTGTTTGAGTCATGAAGTCCTTGCCTATGTCTATGTCCTGAATAGTTTTGCCTAGGTTTTCTTCTAGGGTTTTTAGTCTTATGTTTTATCTTTAATCAATCTGGAGTTAATTTTAGAGTAAGGTCCCAGGAAAGGGTCCAGTTTCTGCTTTCTGCACACTGCTACCCATTTTTCCCAACACCATTTATTAAACTGGGGATCCTTTCCCCATTGCTAGTTTGTCAAAGATCAGATAGTTGTAGATGTGTGGCGTTGCCTCCAGGGCCTCTGTTCTGTTCCATTGGTCTATATCTCTGTTTTGGTACCAGTACTATGCTGTTTTGATTACTGTAGCCTTGTAGTATAGTTTGAAATCAGGTAGCGTGATGCCTCTGGCTTTGTTCTTTTTGCTTAGGATTGTCTTGGCTATGTAGGCTCTCTTTTGGTTCCATATGAAGTTTAAGGTGTTTTTTTCCAGTTCTGTGAAGAAGGTCATTGGTAGCTTGATGGGGATAGCATTGAATCTGTAAATTACTTTGGGCAGTATGACCATTTTCACAATATTGATTCTTCCTAACCATGAGCATGGAATGTTTCTGCATCTGTTTATGTCCTCTCTTATTTCCTTGAGGAGTGGTTTGTAGTTCTCCTTGAAGAGTTCCTTTACATATTTTGTTAGTTGTATTCCTAGGGTTTTTACTCTCTTTGTAGTAATTGTAAATGGGAGTTTGCTCATGATTTGGCTCTCTGTTAGTCTATTATTGGTGTGTAGAAATGCTTGTGATTTCTGCACATTGATTTTGTATCCTGAGACTTTGCTGAAGTTGCTTATCAGTTGAAGGAGATTTTGGGCTGAGATGATAGGGTCTTCTAAATATACAATCATGTTGTCTGCAAATAGAGACAATTTGACTTCCTCTTTTCCTAATTGAATACCCTTTATTTCCTTTTCTTGCCTGATTACTCTGGCTAGAACTTCCAATACTATGTTGAATAGGAGTGGTGAGAGAAGGCATCCTTGTCTAGGGCCAGATTTCAAAGGGAATGCTTCCAGTTTTTGCCCATTCAGTATGATATTGACTGTAAGTTTGTCATAAATAGCTTTTATTGTTTTGAGATATGTTCCTTCAATATCTAGTTTATTGAGCGTTTTTAGCATAAAGTGCTGTTGAATTTTGTCGAAGGCCTTCTCTGCATCTATTGAGATAATCAGGTCCTTTTTGTCTTTGGTTCTCTTTATGTGATGGATTATGTTTATAGACTTGTATATGTTGAACCAGGCTTGCATCCCTGGAATGAAACCTACTTGATTGTGATGGATAAGCTTTTTGATGTGCTGTTGCAATTGGTAAGCCAGTATTTTATTGAAGACTTTTGCTTCTATGCTCATCATGGAAATTGGTCTAAAGTTTTTTTTTTTGTTGAGTCTCTGCCGGGTTTTGGTATCAGGATGATGTTGGTCTCATAAAATGATTGGGAAGGATTCCCTCTTTTTGGATTGTTTGGAATAGTTTCAGAAGGAATCGTACCAGCTCCGTTTTGTATGTCTGGTAGAATTCAGCTGTGAACCCTTCTGGACCTGGACTTTTTATGGTTGGTAGGCTATTAATTGCTGCCTCAACTTCAGCCTGCTACTGGTCTATTCAAAATTTCAACTTCTTCCTGGTTTAGGCTTGGGAGGGTGCAAGTGTCCAGTAATTTATCCATTTCTTCCAGGTTTACTGGTTTATGTGTATAGAGTTGTTTGTTGTAATCTGATTGTAGTCTGTATTTCTGTGGAATCAGTGGTGATATCCCCTTTATTGCTTTTATTGCATCTATTTGATTCTTCTCTCTTTTCTTTCTTATTAATCTGGCTAGCAGTTTGTCTACTTTTTTAATCTTTTCAGTATGCCAGCTCCTGGATTTATTGAATTTTGAAGGGTTTTTTATGTCTCTATCTCCTTCAGTTCTGCTCTGATCTTAGTTATTTCTTATCTTCTGCTGGCTTTTGAGTTTTTCTGATCTCGTTCCTCTAGCTCTTTCAATTTTGATGATAGCATGTCGATTTTAGATCTTTCCTCGTTTCTCATGTGGGCATTTATTGCTATATGTTTTCCTCTGGACATTGCTTTAAATGTGTCCCAGAGATTCTGGTACATGTGTCTTTGTTCTTGTTGGTTTTGAAGAAAATCTTTATTTCTGCCTTCATTTCATTGTTTATCCAGTAGACAGTCAGGAGCCAGTTGTTCAGTTTCCATGAAGCTGTGTGGTTCTGAGTTAGTTTCTGAAGTCTGAGTTCGAATTTGATTGCCCTGTGGTCTAAGAGACTGTTTGTTATGATTTCTGTTCTTTTGCATTTGCTGAGGAGTGATTTACTTCCCATTACGTGGTCAATTTTAGAGTAGTGTGATGTGGTGCTGAGAAGAATGTATATTCTGTGGATTTTGGATGGAGATTTCTGTATATGTCTATTAGGTCTCCTTGGTCCACAACTGAGTTCAAGTCCTGGATAGCCTTGTTAATTTTCTGTCTCATTGATCTGTCTAATATTGACAGTGGAGTGTTAAAGTCTCCCACTATTATTGTGTGGGAGTCTAAGTATCCTTGTAGGTCATTAAGAACTTGCTTTATGTACCTGAGTGTTCCTGTATTAGGTGTGTATATATTTAGGATCATTAGCTCTTCTCTTGCATTGATCCTTTTACCATTATGTAATGCCATTCTTTGTCTCTTTTGATCTTTGTTGGTTTAAAGTCAATTTTATCAGAGACTAGGATTGCAACTCCTGCTTTTTTTTTTTTCTCTGTATTTGCTTGGTAAATCTTTCTCCATCTCTTTATTTTGAGCCTATGTGTGTCCTTGCATGTGAGGTGGGTTTCCTGAATACAG